CCTCTGCACACTGCTTTAGAGCTGACTGTATGTGACTAACAGGATACATCACAAGTGACAGTGTATGACTTTTGTTTTCTGTGTTTTGAGATAGAGTCTTGCTCTGTCACTCAGGCTGGAGTGCAGTGGTGTGACCTCAACTCACTGCAACCTCCGCCTTCTGGGTTCAAACGTTTCTCCTGCCTCAGCTTCCTGAGTAGCTGGGATTACCGGCATTCACCACCATGTCTGGCTAATTTTTGTATTTTTAGTAGAGACGGGGTTTCACCACGTTGGCTAGGCTGGTCTCGAGCTCCTGGCCTCAGGTGATCTGTCTGCCCCGGCCTCCCAAAGTGTTGGGATTACAGGCATGAGCCACTGTGCTTGGCCAGGAAGTGTCAGTGTGTGACTTTTGAGCCTGGGTCATAAAAAGCATTGCGGTTTCCACCGTGGTCTCAGATTGCTCTGTCTAAGGGAAGCTAACTGCCATGCTGTCAGGACACTCGCACAGCCCCATGGAGAGACCCACGTGGAAAGGCACTGAGGTCTCCAGCCAACAGCGAGCACCAGCTCAGCAATCATGTGTGTGAGCCCCCTTGGAGGTGGATCCTCCAGCCCCAGTCAAGCCTTCAGGCAAGACTGCAGCCCCCACTGACATCCGACCGAAACCTTAAGAGAGACCCTGAGCCAGAATGCCCAACTGAGCAGTTCTCAAATTCCTACCCACAGAAACCATGAGAACATTTTTAAAAAAAAATCATCATTAATGTTTTCAGTCACTACATTTTGGAATGATTTGTTACTCAGCAATAGATAGCAAATAGACATTCAATCCATAATTCAATAAATGAAGGGTGAATATATAAATAAAAATCATCTCTAGAATTGGTCCAGCTGCAAACCTCACTAAATACGGGACTGTCTGAAGCTGTTTCTCCTCTTATGGTCCCCAGGCTGCACCACTTTCTGGTACTGTGTTTCTAATTGTCCCTAGATCCCAAGTTGACTACATCTCTTCTGCCTAAATCCATTCTTTCTATCAGAAGCATCACCGATTTTGCACAAATGAGAGGGTGCAGAGTTGTCTTTCATTTCTCTCCGTTTCTTTTTCTGTTCGCACTGTCCTTTTTCACTCCCAATGCTCTGCCATGTGAGTCTTCTTTCCATTTCCCTGCAACTTCCCTCATTTAATTGAAAAGCGTGGGCTTTGGAGGGTAACATATCTCCGCTTGGGCTGGACTGATGACTTACCAACCACTTGCTTGAGTAGACTTTTTAAAGTCTCAAAGCCTGTTTCCTCTTCTGCTAGATGGGGCTAACAATAATTCTACTACTACCTAGTTCACGGGGACTGTTACCACTAATTGCAGCGAGGAGTGTGTACACGTACGTGTGTGTGAGTATGCCACTTAGCGCGGTTCTAGGCACATGGCAGACATCCTTAAATCCTAACAGCTATCCTCAATGGTAGACTTTGATTCTTCATCTTACAGAGGAGCAAAAAGGTTCAGAGAAGCTGAGTACGTTGCCCAACACCACGTAGCTAGAACGCTCCAGGCCTGCAGTGTTTCGATGCCTGAATCCTGTCCAGTGCTTCATGCCGTTCACACTGTATCACTGCAACAGTGAGCTGCTCTTCTCACCTGCAGTCCATGCCTTCTCCAACCCATCCTGAGCAGAACTGGCAGACTCATGTCCTCTAAAGCTGATTGGGTCACTCCCTTGACTATGATCCTACATTGGCTCTGGTTGTTCAAATTCAACTTCCCACACTCCTTCAGCTGCTCTTCTGTTTGGGTATTCTCTCCTACTACTCTGCCAGTCCGCATGTCATCTTTCACTGCCCCTTCTATGCTGCCCAGTCAAGCTAGTATTCGTCTCACTGGAGTCCTCTCCACTCCCGTACACGCTGCACCATCCTATGCACTGTCCCTAGTTTCAGGGTCCCCATCTCTGCTGTCCTTGTTTCTTCTCCACTGTGCACACCTGACCCATCAAGGCCCAGCTCCGGTCCCCATTCCTGCACGCTGCTCTTCTGGCTATTCTAGGTCCCAGTGATCTCTTTTTTTTTTTTTTTTTTTTTTTTTTTTTTGAGATGGAGTCTCGATCACCCAGGCTGGAGTGCAGTGGCACGATCTCAGCTCACCACAACGCCCACCCACTGGGTTCAAGCGATTCTCCTGCCTCAGCCTCCCAGGTAGCTGGGATTATAGGTGCATGCCACCACACCCAGCTAATTTTTGTATTTTTTAGTAGAGATAGGGTTTTGCCATGTTGGCCAGGCTGGTCTCGAACTTCTGACCTCAGGTAATCTTTCTGCTTTGGCCTCCCAAAGGGCTGGGATTACAGGCGTGAGCCAGCGTGCCCGGCCTCATCTTTTAACTCCTGCTCCTCTATTTAGTATTTAGTCAGTCCCCAAGCTTCATCTTCCCAATTGGATTGTGAGTTCCCTGCAGGACTGAAATCATCTCCTGGACTTTCTATGAACTGGCACAATATATAGTAGATGGTAAACATTTCATTGCTTTGCTAACATTCATTTAGATCCATAGGTTTGGAAAGAATTAAAAACTGTTTTCTAAACTAAGCAAGGGAGAACGCCTTTTGTGTCTGTTTGTCTGTCTATGAGATCTCCTCATAGCAGAGGAGTTGCAAAGAAGGTCCTGTTGAAGGTCACTTTGGAAACTGGAGGCCCACCTGGATTTCCTCATGCAAAGGAAACAGATTTCAAACTCCCAGTTGGTCTTGAAAGGACAACCTGCTCAGCCAGTTCTGTGGGGACGGGAACCCCACTGACGTTTTCTGATCCCTTCTTTTTAGCCCCTCCTCAACCCCCAGCAACTTCTGCCGCCCCAAGCTTCATACTTCCTTCAGCCCTAACCCATGTCCCACGAATCCCTGGCTTCCATTGCCACAACGCTCCCCAGGGTCCCCTGGGACGGCAACCCCCACCACTCTGCACACCCTCCCAGCACCTCCTTTCCCAGTGACCTTGACCTCAGCTCTAGCCTCCTCCCCAGTCCCTCAGCTCCCGCCTCAATCTTCTCTGAGCCTCCAGAACCCAGCTTTGCCCTGCTTGAAGCCTCTCATCCCAAACCCCTGCTGGCAACCCCTGGCTCCCCTGGTGGTTCCATCTATTGCCACCCCTCTCCTTGGCTCAACTCCCCCATGATCCACCTCCCCCGCCCAGTCCTGCTCTTCCTGATGGCTGTATATGCTATTCCCTGGGGCCCAGGGGCCCAGCCCAGGCATTCCATATTTTAAGTAAATAGAAAGTGACTCTCTTTAAAGAAAACTATTAAATAAATAGCAGTACAGGTGACACTCAGGTGTGACAGAGGCTGTGTAGCACAGCTTGAAATGACCTGGGGCTTAATTCTGCTTCTCCTACCGCCTAGCTGTGTGACCTGGGGCTCATTAATAAACTGCCTCTGACTTGGCTTTTCCTACGGTAAAATTGGGAAAATAGTAGGACTTTACTTCAGGGAGCTGCTTTCAGGACTAAACATGTGCCTACCACAGTGTAAGAGCCTCCAAAATATTGAGGTTTACTCATTTTAAAAGTCTGTTGGCCAGGCGCAGTGGCTCACGCCTGTCATCCCAGCACTTTGGGAGGCCAAGGCAGGCAGATCACTTCAGGTCCAGAGTTCGAGACCAGCCTGGCCAACAGCGTGAGAACCTGTCTCCACCAAAAATACAAAAATTAGCCAGGCATGGTGGTGTGGGCCTGTAATCCCAGTTACTCGGGAGGCTGAGGCAGGAGAATTGCTTGAACCCAGGAGGCAGAGGTTACAGTGAACCCAGATGGTGCCATGCACTCCAGCCTGGGCGACAGCATGAGACTCCATTTCAAAAAAAAAAAAAAAGTCTGTCAATGAAGTAATTCATCCCAAGAACTAAAATTCAAAGCACCAGTGACAGCAGGAACACAGCAATGTTTAAATTGGTGTCTACATGTCCTCCCCCAAGGTCCTGTATGTCAGGAGCCTCAGTCCCTTTCAGTATTTAGTTAATTTATTTGAGATGGAGTTTTGTTCCTGTTGCCCAGGCTGGAGTGCAATGGCACAATCTCAGCTCACGGCAACTTCTGCCTCCTAGTTTCAAGAGATTCTCCTGCCTCAGCCTCCCGAGTAGCTGGGATTACAGGCGTGCACCACCAAGCCTGGCTAATTTTGTATTTTTAGTAGAGATGGGGTTTCTCCATGTTGGCCAGGCTGGTCTCAATCTCCTGACCTCAGGTGATCTGCCTGCCTCAGCCTCCCAAAGTGCTGGGATTACAGGCATGAGCCACCGTGCCCAGCCCCCTTTCAGTATTTTTTTACATGCTGCAGCCTCACATATTACAAGGGGAACTTAGAATGTCTGAAGCATACTTCCAAATGTCAAATCATTGTTGTAAGTTTGAAATTGGGAATAAGAAAAGTTCCGTTAACACTATGTTTAGGCATAATAATGACTTTCTCATGTGACAAGGGACTCAGTGAAGACCAGGTGTGGTGGCTCACACCTATAATCCCAGCACTTTGAGAAGCTGAGGCGGGAGGATCACTTGAGGTCAGGAGTTTGAGGCCAGCCTGGGCAACATAGTGAGACCCTCATCTCTACAAAAAAGAATTAAGCAATTAGCTGGGTGCAGTGACTTATGCCTGTAGTCTCAGCCACTCAGGAGACTGCGTCAGGAGGATTGCTTTAGGCCGGGAGTTCAAGGCCAGCCTGGGCAACATAGCAAGACCCTGTCTCTAATTTAAAAAAAAGAAAAGAGTGGTCAGACTTGAGACTGTGTGTTAAAAAGGATATATGCATTTTCATCCCTGAAGTCTCCTCTGCAGGGAGCTAGATAGGGAGGAGCCTTGGGAGGCCCTCTCAATTCTTCCTGCACGCAGAAACACACACACATATCCATGCCTCCAACTCGACTGGTCCCAAACAGGCTCCCTGAGACAGTGAGCCCATGGGACATGCTGGTCTGTGGCCCAGGCAAGGTTAATCTCAGAGAGTTAAGAGCAGTTGGCCTGACTTACCAATCTCATAGAAGGGCAGAGAATAGTCTCTTTGGTAAGTGGTTTCTTTATACCACGGCTCAGCAGGCTTTGAATGTCTTCGAAAGCAAATATATCGAATGAGCATTTGTTGGTCTAATTGAGGCTGATAGTGATATTTTCTCTTGGGTGGAATTGTCAAGTCTATGAGCGGTCTAAATGGAAATAGAAACAGTTTGCTGAAAACCCAGTAGAAAAAAGCAGTCCATTTTCTTATCAGCTGGAATCCATTCCCTGGAAATGGCCATGAGGCTAACGAGAGTATTGACAAGACTCCCATAGCTCTACGACCAGCCCTGGCAAAGCTGTAGTAGATGGTTCAGGGACTTCTGTTCTCTGCTCTTCCCTTTAGCATCCCTCCTTCTCTCCAATGACAGGTCCTAGGAGGTGATGCATATCACGCTCTCCACTGGATCTGCCCATGCACAGCCACTCCCCGTGCTCCAAGGTCCCTGGTGCCCTTTCCCAGTGTAACTGTTCTGTGGATGTTTGTTGCTTCAAGGAACCAGTGCAGGCCTGGTGTGGTGGCTCACGCCTGTAATCCCAGCATTTTCGGAGGCTGATGGGGGCAGATCGCTTGAGCTCAGGAGTTCGAGGCCAGCCTGGGCAACATGGCGAAAACCCGTCTCTACAAAAAAAATACAAAAAGTAGCCAGGTGTGGTGGTGCACACCTGTAATCCCAGCTACTAGGGAGGCTTAGGTAGGAGGGTCCCTTGAGCCCAGGAGGCAGAGGTCACAGAGAGCCGAGACACAGCCTGGGTGACAGAGCAAGACCCTGTCTCAAAGAAATAAATAAAATAAAATAAAATAAAATAAAATAAAATAAAATAAAATAAAAAAGGAATCAATACACTTACCTGTTTGAGCTGACACCATACTCAGAGTTTGATGGACTTAGGAAATCAGTTATAACCTTCCTGTACCCCTATTCAAATGAGTGTAGCTGGAAAAGCAAAGAACAACCAAGACATAATGGCAAAATATCGTTTGTGGCAGTATACTTTCACTGGTCCAGCTATGGTGATGTATGAAAAGACAGATACACATATTTTGGTATTCAACAATTCTAAGATGTCAGCAAAGACTTAGCTCTAAGAATGCTTGTCAAGTGTTTTTATGATAATAAAAGAGTGGGATAACTTCTACAAAAACAAAATTAACAATAATAGCAGAAATGTAAAGATACCATGCCACCATTAAAGAAGGAAATGATGCTGTGCGGCAGTTAAGGTGGCTCATGCCTGTAATCCTAGCACTTTGGGGCCGAGGTTGGCCAGATCACACAGGTCTGGAGTTCTAGCCTGGCAACGTGGTGAATCCCGTCTACAAAAATACAAAAATTAGCTGGCGGATGGTGATCACCTGTAATCCTGGCTACATGGAGGCCAGGGCAGGAGAATCACTTGAACCCGAGGCAGAGGGTTACAGTGAGGCAGAGGTGCATGAGACTCAGCCTGGCATTTCATGACCGAGACTCATCTTAAAAAAAAAAAAAAGGATGCTATAGTAGGATTATAACTTTTGAAATGGAAAAAAATACAATACATATATTTTAAACAAAGGTTTCAGTTAGTTCTCCATGGTCGATTCATTCATTAGTTAAATGGGATAAATCATATGATATACTTGAATTATCTCAATGCAGCTATTACCAAAAATAAAAGGTTTGAAAAAATGCCCATCCCAATCCTATTTTGATGTAGATCAGATGATTCTATGTGGTGTTATCTTTGGGTAAATGATATTGAGTAACTTTCAATCATTCCGTTTTGATTGTGATGTTTTTAAATATTCTATTCATTACATTTTAAACTATAAAATAGGCATTGAAATGCTGTTGTTGTAAAAACACAATAAGTGTTAGCTGAGATTCAAGCATCTAAAGTCTAAAGAAATTGACCAATACCTTCTGTGATTTATCTGTGAACTAATCACACAGGCGTCACCACCTGAGAGCATGAGCTGTGTGTCTTCAGTTATGTTTGCCCTGATTGGGTAAACACAGTTGTGGTCTTCATTATTATTGAAGCTGTGATGTGAAACTAACTGCAAGAAAAGTGTATTTCTTTACTTTAGAATGGGTAAGCTCTGCCACAGCGTTCAGAAAAGCAAGAGCAAACATCATGTACTCATGGGGTATTGAATGGGTGAAATGCTGGATGATTGGAAGGTGGATGGGCTAGTCGACGAAATGCCACACCTCTACTTTGTTCTTACTACGTGCTTCAATTTATGTGACCTTCTTGGTAAGTGCATAGGCGATAGTGAGGTCTAACACCTGAAAATCATCGCTGTCGTCAGAAACATTGTTAGCGGCCTGGGAAATACGTAGATCTCATGATTAGGATTCATAACGACCATCACTAAGTCTAGTCACTTCATGTACTGATGGCTCTGATGCGGAGTAGGCTCTAGTGACTGCTCTAGGTGCCTCTGCTGGACTGCCAGCCTACCTCTTCCTCCCTGACTGGTGTTTCTCTAGTATCAGAATATTCTCCTTCCACCCAAGTAATACATCAATGCCCTTACAGAACCAAGACTTTCCTCAAAGGACTCCCAATATACAGAAGGACATCAAGTTGAGTGGAGGAATATATCTGGGAAGATGGCGTTGGGCCTCTATCAGGAGTTATGTCTGCGGCTATTAGCTGGCACCAGTCGTCACAGTGGCGTGTTATTTCCTAGTTCTTACTTTCGGTGACATCTTTTCTTTCTGGCCAATAGGCTCATAAACTAACATTTGCATTGATTTTCCATAAAACAACCTTGACCTGGCTTTCGATGTCTTACTGATCGAGTTCCCTTTAATTGAGCCGTCCTCTGGTAGGACTTGCCAGGCAAGGTGGCGGTGGAAAGTGGGGAAGGCGTCAGGGTTCACGTTTGTGGAGGACTCCTCATGGAGTTGGGCTGTGACTGGCTCCTGGCAGTGGGGGTCTGTCATTTCCTTTCTTGTCTATCCTGTGAAAAACATAGCCCTACTGATTCCCAATATAGTGTGGATTCAAATTAAGTAAGTCATGAACTGGTTCAGAAATACTCAAGTGGTTTAGACCCTTTTTTTTTTTTTTTTTTTGAGTTTCATCTTGTGCCCAGGCTGGAGTGCAATGGAGTGATCTAATCACTGCAACCTCTGCTCCTGGTTTCAGTGGTTCTCCTGTCTCAGCCTCTGATAACACAGGTTACAGACTTTACCACTTAGCTGATTTTGTATTTAGTAGAGGCCAGAGTTCTCCCGTTACTGGTCAGGCTGGTCTTGGGCCTCAACTGGGTGATCTACCCACCTCGGCCCCTCCCAAGTCTTTGGAATTAGGGCCAGGCCACATGCAAGCCACAAGCCAAGCACTGCTCTGTGCTAACTGGGCATTGGGCCAAACATATCACCTCTCTGGGCTCAATTCATTCATCTAATTGTGCAAACAAAATGGCCCTTAAAGCTACTTCTTGTTTGATCATAAGTCATTTGAAACTCCTGCTTCATTTCACAAGCCACACACGCTGCAGCTCCCTTCTTACATAGAGGGATCTGGGCGACTATGTCTGACAGTGAAAAAAGTGCATGTATAGATGTTGGAAGTCAGATAACAAACCTGTCCAAGTGCCTTTACAATGTCAGATGTTACTCGATATTCCTGTTTAGCAGGTAAAACCAGTTTAATCGTGGAATAGAAGCCTAAGATTGCCCCAAGTCATGTTTGTAGTTTATTCTGCTTGGCACCTTACTTGTAGTTTTCCAGCTCCTCAACTGAAAATAAGGTCAAAGTGCCTATGGGCTGGAGTGCAGTGGCTCATGCCTGTGACCCCCAGCATGCTGAGAAGCCAAGGTGGGCAGGTCCTTGAATAGGAGTTTGAGACCAGGCAGCTGTGCTGGTGAATCCCTATCTCTACTAAAAATACAAAAAAATTAGCTGGATGTGTGCTGCCTTAATACTTGCATAGTCTCAGCTACTGGGAGGCTGAGGCACGAGAATTCTCGAACCTGGAGGTGGAGGTTGGTGAGCCAAGATCTTTGCCACTGCTGCCAGCTGGACAACGAGATACAACAGTAGATGGTAGAATAGTATGCCCCTCATTAAAAATTATGGTTTGGTATATTTCCTTTCTTCCCTCTTTATCAATGCTCTCACCTGTCTCATTCTCTAAATGTCCTATCTTCCCCTACCCCTCCACCACCTCAGCCACCGCTAACAGATTAAGAATTTGAGGACGGGAGATTGTCTTGCCATGGAGCTCACACGCTGCTGATCAAAATGAGTCTTATATTACCCAAGTGTCTTGCTTCTTTGGAATTCTTCTTGATAGAACAATGATATACTGAGAGCAGAAAGTGACAGAGTGAAAAGCCGTTCTTACGTTAGTTCGTTGAAGAATGCCATTGCGTGACCACAATGCAAAGCGTGTTTGGTCTTTGTCCCAGTTCCTGGCACTGGGCTAGCAGCCATGCGTTTTCTGGTGACCTTTTCATGCATCACCGGGCCTTTCTGCCATAGCTGGTGCTGAACCACATTTCTCATCCCACCACAAACCTCATACATCATGTAAGTATATTGTTATGTTCAGGGATTATAAATCTTAATGTATCAAGTGTTCAAGTTCAGAATATGGAAAAATAAAGTGGATATACAAACCCAGCCAGGTGGGCAAACGCCAGCCTGGAATAAAATGGGACAAAATGAAAGAAAAAGTAAGGCCAAGAAATAAAGCAGTGGACAGATCTTGATAACGGACAAATGAGGTGGGCTGAAACCGTGAACACTCTGTCCAGCACTGGGAGGCCGGATGTTCGGATCACTTGGGGTCAGGAGTTTGAGACCAACCTGGCCAATATGGTGAAACCCAGTCTCTACTAAAAATACAAAAAATTAGCTGGACATGAAATAACATATGCTGTAATCCCAGCTACTGGGAAGACTGAGCCAGGAGGGTGCTTGAACTGGGGAGGCAGAGTTGCAGTGAGCGAGACCATGCCTGCACACTTGGTGACAGCATTCTGAAACCTATCTCTAAAAACAAAAACAAGCAAATAAAAAAAAACTGAAAATGTGGAATCCAATAAATACAGAGGCTCTGTCTGAAAAAAATAAATAAAAATAAAAATAATAAAAATATGAGGAATTTAATTAGTAAGGCTCATCATACTGTACCACTTTTTGATGT